ATTAAATTAATACTTTTACCTTTACCTTCATGGACTGAATCGATACTCGTTACAATTCATGTTTGAAATAATATTAACAAAATCTATCAAAATTTTGACTGCCTTTTTTTTAATATACACAGTACTTGTACTTTTACTTATTCTTGTACTTTCAATACTTGAGTAGCAATTTTTTAAATACTTCCACTTGCAATACTGAAGTAAAAAACTTAACTTAACTTAAGTATGGTGTTGAAAGAACACTTGAACTTTTACTTGAGTCCATTTCTTTATATAGTACTTGTACTTGTACTCCAGTACTTTATAGTCTCTTTTCTGTGGGCAGGATGGGCTGGTGAAGGCCAACATGGAGAAGTACTTTTACTTTCAATCCATGAGTAGCAATTTTTGAAATACTTGCAATACTTCAGTAAAAAAAATGGAGTACTTCCGTACTTCCACTTAACTCATTGACTGCCAGAGTTTTTTGAGCATTTTGACAGATTTTTCAAGAGCCACAGAATAGTTTGTGCTATGACTATGTAAACACCGAACACGCCAAAAGAAAGAGTAGACTCTCTTCTTTCATTCTTTCTACCTTATTCCGTAATCTTCCTGGACGTGAGTCTCACCGGCGACATGTTCTCTCATATCGAAGCATTACCTTTTTCTTATTTTCCTACAGTCTATGCTCATCTCCCATCAAAATTGGCACTGCCCCCTAGAGGGTCAATTTGTTACTACATACTCTGTCTAGAAACCGATATTTACGGACAAGCTTTAGCAGATCGTCCCCCAGCCACTCTCGTTGAAAAAGATTAAAGACGTCTATAGACGTCTTTGGCAGCCAATGAGTTAAGTATGGAGTTGAAAGAACACTTCAACTTGTACTCAACTCCATTTTCTTATACAGTACTTGTACCTCTTCCCCAGTTCTTTACCTCTCTAATTCTCTGCAGGTTCTCGGGTTTGTGCAGGAGTGGGAAACCCTGCCGGCGATGAAGCAGAAGCTGCTTCGGCGCAGCGGCGTTTTTTTCCACAAGCCGTCGCTGGGTCTGCAGCAGCTGGCCGCCGCCCGCCCCCCCACATCCAGCACCAAGAGGTCAGAGCCGCCCGGAAACGGGGTCCCCATGGAAACGGGGTCCCCATGGAGACGGGGTCCGGTTTTAACTGAGCCACGTCCTCAAACGGGAGAGGAATCAATCAGGGCAACATTTAACAACATGCAAACTTCCCATGTCTTAGAAGATGCTCATTCAGCAGTTTAATTAGTAATAAAACCACCATTTTACACAAAACTAGATCAAATAATGAAACCCATTTAGTCTAAACATTTCAGTGAGTCTGCAGACACCTGGATTATTGACAGGAACTATCAGAATCAGATTTAGAAATACTTTAATAATCCCAGAGGGAAGTTATTTACTAGCAGAGGACACAAAGAAAATGGTCCTCAAACTCCTTAAATAAGGCCATTAAGCTCAGCGTTTGGCAACAAATCTTACATTTGGAGCAAGTAGAAACAAAATGAGCTGGTTTTATTAAAAGGGAAATATGGAAATTTGAAATTCAACACACAAATTCATGACAAAATTTCCAACAAAAGAGAGAAAGTGTTGATATTTGAGACTAAACTATAAGAATGTGGTGAAATGAATGAGGTTTCCGTCCAGAAAATCCAAACATTAACCACAGAAGTAGAGGAATGTGTTGGATAAAGAGATAATCGACCAGGGAGAATGTTCCCTGATCCCTACACAGTCCAGTGTGTCAAACTTTTGTCTGTAAGATTTCCCATCTGCGTAAAAATCCTGCGAAATGGAGCTGGATTCAACCCCGTTTACTCTCTGTGGGCATGTCGGGAAGCTTCCAGTTACTCAAAAACCCGCCTCAGCCTCCAGAAGCTGAAATTATCGCATCAGAAAACAGCGTTAGCAGCAGCCTCAAAGCAAATATTCATGTTTCTCCCCTCCTTTTTGCCATTATGAGCTAACTAAGGGTCACCCCCCCCCGAAAAACAAGAAAAAACTAGGAAACAAACCCATCTGTGCCCAGTGAGAGCATCAGTGTGACACCAGTTAACAAGCCACATCTCTCTGCTTTTTCTGTCGAAAATGGGTGGAAACGGAGAGATAAATCGGCCTCCGAAATTGTGTCAGAAACCAAGAAAATCGGCGCGTGAGACTCCGCAGAAAAAGGAGCAGATTTGTAAATACCAGCGGCCCCCGGCGCCTCGGAAAGCCGAAGCTATCCGTGCGCGTTTGTGTGTGTGTGTGTGTGTGTTTGTGTGTGTTTGTGTGTGTGTGTGTGGGCGTATCAAAGGCTGTTATTTGAGACGTGAGAGAGAGGAACGGGACCAGCTCTGCCAGTGTGTACATGTGTGTTTTTTTGACAAACAAGCATTGTTGCTAGCGCGCTAATTACAGCTGGCTGGGACGGAGAGTTTTGCCAATTACGGGGCCGAGTGTGAGAGCGTGTGAGGGAGAGTTTCTCCACCGGGGAACGCGTTTCGGTGCGTGAACCTAATCAAGGTGTGAGTAGGAGGCAATTGGCCCGGTTTGATTTGATACCTGTTTGATTTATTCGCTAATCAGAACCAATCAAGACGCAGCTTTGGGCTCAGCGGGGCCGCGGCGGCTCGGTTTTCTGATCCTTCAGGCCTGAGTTTTACAGCTCTGGGTGTTCCTGTCAGAAGCCGATTGGAAGGGATCTTTATTTTTTTTATTTCAGAAGACTTGAGAGGATTTTAATCTGCTGTGAGCTGCCGTCATTGTTTGACTTAAACGGATTATTGGAGCGGGAAAAAACACAATTAAAGCAAATTTCCACTGTGAAAAAACAAAAACAGAACCTGTGATCATAACCAAGTTAAGTTAAGAAGATGGAGAAATATGTCTTTTAAAAATCCAGCTCATCAATCTGGGAGGGGATATAAAACATTTTCATCCCAGAGGTCAAAGGTCAAGCTCTTTTTTCCATGAAAAAACAACAACAAACCACATTTGAGATGTCTGTTGTGTTCAGAAACATTGAGCCTTCAGACCTGAATGTTTTCATACGCAGGTAAATATTTGTTGAGTGTTTTGTTTGAGTGGATTAGCGCTAACGGAGCAAACATTAATATCGTGTCATTAACATGATATTTGTCTTTCTATTAACCAGGATAACTGATAATGGGATTGTTGTTGGTTTTATTAAGCTCCTACTTTAGAGTTTAGAGTGAGTTAAACAGGCTGCCTGAGCAACATCCTGATGACAAGTTAGCAAAACGGGCAAAGTTGGATTTATGTGAAAACCATCTTAAATTGTCCACAATCTTAAACTATAATAATCCAATCCAATCCACCTTTATTTATATAGCACAATTTAAACAAACACAGGGTTTTCAAAAGTGCTGCACAAAAACATATCCAGAAAAATAAATAACACAGTAGAAATTCAGCTAAAAGTAAAAAAATATGCATGAGTATACATAAAATCAACACTGTCCATGGTGTCAAAAGCCAAAGAAAAGAGGTGGGTCTTAAGAAGAGTTTTAAAATGAGAGAGAGAGGTGGCCTGTCTAAAAAGTTAGATTTTAACTTTTTATCCAAGTGTTGCTGGGAAAACAGGAAAAAAGCTGAAACTGGGGCTGAAATCAGGATGGAGATGGACCTCTGGGGGTTGCTGGGGTTGAGTTCTTGGCTTAGTTTTAAGTAGTTTTTAACCAGTTTGTGTGGCCCAGTTTGAAGTTTGAAACCCCCCCATGTTTACCTTTACAGGGACTGTCAAACTATCCGTGTCCTTCAAACTCCCAGCTGCTGGAAAAACAGGCACAGCTGCTTTCCCGCTTTTTTAATCACAGAAAAAGAAGAGGGAGCCGTTTCAAACGAGAAGGAAAACAGGATTCGGTGGTGTTCAGATCAAAAGATTAAGAGTTTGAAGTCGAAGCGGAGTCAAAACAAACGCTGGAAAAGTAGGTGTTGCGCAACAGAAACAGCTGGAACAGCTCGATGCAATTAATTGGCCTAACGAGAAGCTGATCGGTGACCTGATTGGGTGTAAAAAGAGCCACTGATAAAGTCTCTGGTGGACCTCTCTGTGGCCTTAAGGCCCTCAGGCAGCTCTCTGCAGTGAAAACAAACGTGATTTTGTCAATTTTGTCCCCCAGAAATCCTCATCTGTGAGCTAAAATGCAGGTTAGAGAACCAACATGTAGAGAAGGAGCCATTTTTGGAAGCAGTTTAAAGCCTTCCCAATCTTTTAGGGACACATTCCTGCCAATAAACTCAAAATAAGCTCATTTTGCATCAGATTTATTCAACATTTTATCATTTTTATTTAAAACTGCAAATCGATTACAAGATTTATGACATTTATGTCATAAATTATGACGTTTATGTTAAACATACAGTGTCCCGATGTGGTTTCACAGCCTCCTTCATCCTCACTCGTCATTATTTAGCTGTTGGCTTGTCACTTCCAGCATTTGGCAGCGCGTGAAATTGGAAGTAATATTAATTAATGTTTGTTAATAATGCAGAAAATACCACAACAGCGTTTTATTAGATGCTCTGGGTTGTTCCAGGAGGCCCAAAGCCGCAGCGGGAAGCGGCCAAACCTTCTTTTCAATTGATTAAATCGTCATTTTAATTCAAAATCACCCATCTGGCAGAAGCAGCTGCTCAGAAAGAGCGGACAGATGCATTAAAAAATGCAAATAAACTCCCATCTCTGCCGGTGGACTCTGGTTCGGCGTGAGGAGCCTCGTTTCATCCGGCCGTTTGAACCAAAGCAGCTCCTGTGTTTGATGGAGACTTCCCTTCTTCCTCTTTCTATCACTTCCAGAAAAAGTTCTCCTCTTTGATGTGTCTCTCCTCCACTTTCTGCATCCTTCTTCCAACCAACACATACAGAGGGGGAAATAAGTATTTGACCCCTTGCAAAGAATGCAACGATATATAACTTTAATCATATGTAAATTCTAACAGTGAAAGACAGAATCCCAAAGAAAATGATGACCATTTCTTTGTTTCCTCTGCTAGTAAATAACTTCCCTCTGGGATTATTAAAGCATTTCTGATTCTGATAGTTCCTGTCAATAATCCAGGTGTCTGCAGACTCACTGATATGTTTGGACTAAATGGGTTTTTATTGTAGAAATCCAAATCATTAAATGACTCCTACTTATTCATTATTTGATCTAGTTTTGTGTAAAATGGTGGTTATACAGTGGGGGAAATAAGTATTTGACCCCTTGCTGATTTTGCAGGTTTGCCCACTTACAAAGAATGCAACGATCTATAACTTTAATCATATGTACATTCTAACAGTGAAAGACAGAATCCCAAAGAAAATTCCAGAAAATCACATCATATGAATTTCTAAAAATTGATAACCATCTGATGAGGAAAAATAAGCATTCTTTGTAAGTGGGCAAACCTGCAAAATCAGCAAGGGGTCAAATACTTATTTCCCCCACTTTACCCCCCATCCTACCCCCGTTTATTTTTCTTTGAAATCTTCCTTCTTCTGCCTAGTCTTTCTTCCATCCCTTTCCCAGAGAAAGGGTTCTGAGCAGATGGAGGGGATGTAAATGGGAACGGGGGCCTCTGCCAGGCCTTTTGGGTTGAGTTCCTGGACTGGCAACTCCTCCCCGTTTGTGTTTTTATTTTTTAATTTTTTAATTTTTATTTTTTATTTTTTTTTACCAGTTGAAGTAGTGACAGAGGAACAAGACTCTAATGGGCAATAATTCAATAACTTTTCCTTCACTATATAATATTTAGACGGTTTCTTTTATTTATTTATTTATTTTTATTTTTATTTATTTTTTTATTTTTTTATTTTTTTACCTTGTCCTGTTCAGCATTATGGCAGCAGAACTGAAATCTGAGTACCGTGCTATGCTGAACAAAATTGCTTTGCCAAGCGAGGCTTTGTTAGTGAGAAGCGCCCCTTGATTCCCCAAAACGTCTTTATTTATTCATTTTTGTTACCAAACTTCCGTTTGTGTTTTTAATCAGAGGATCAAGTCTTCTTGCACTTTAGCAAACGTGTTAAATGAAATTTCTGCGTGTCGTCTCGGAGATATTCCGCCCATTGATTTTTCTCTCAGAGGCCACTGTTGTCTGCCAGCCGTAAAGTTTCATCAAAGTAAGTTAAAGAATTGACTGAACTGTCAGAAGAAATGCTTGAAAGATGCATTAATTATCGATCTGAGCTGCAATTAGGGAGCGGCTTTTTCCAGCCGGGTTGATTGTCTGTAAAAGGACGACACCAGCCAGAACTCTCCTCCCCTCTCGCCGTCCATTTCTCCCGTCTGAATTTGGATTTTCGCTTTTGAATTGTTTGAAATGCTCAGTCTGGCAGCATTTCACAAAGTGGAACCTCATTTTCCGAACGTGGAATAAGCAAAAGAATTTGCTTTCTTGATTTAACTGCCTGTGACCTGTGAGCAGGGAAAGAAAATGGATGGATTTAACGGCTGTTTATTGTCTTTTTTAAAATGGCAAAAAGCAGGCTAGTTGTTTTTTAACCCTATAATGCCAAATGCATCATATTTGGTACAAACGGTTTCTGAAGTCTTTTGGATCTGAGACTTTTTGCATCATTCAGTGGTAAAAGCTTTGCTCAAACCCCTGTTGTACACATTCAGAAGACTACACCAAAATATATTTCTGACTTATTCCACGCTAATTTGATCAAAATAATTTCTTTTTTTTTTCTTCATATGTTGTTGAGGGGCCAAAGAAAGATATTCTTCCTATTTTTCTTGGATCAGGCTTTTGGAAATTAGGAAAACGTTTCACAATCCAGAAATAAAAAACAACCCTAACCCACTTTTTTCTGCTTTTCTTTTTCTCATTTTTCTTTTCTTACCCTAACTTTAATTTTTCTTTCTTTTTTCCCTTTTCGAACTTTTATTTCTGCTCTTTTAAAGTGCATTCCTCTTTCTTTTTTACCCCATTATCACATGATGAGGCCTTGATGGGAGTGTGTTGGTGGCTCCTGCTGTAATTAAGATGAAACATTAAGGAGAGTCTCGTTTGTTTAAACATGGACCCAGAAACCCGGAGAGGAGTGAAACCTGGCATCAAACCTCTGGGAGAAGCTTCTGTTGTTAACTCATTGACTGCCAGAGTTTTTTAGCATTTTGACTGATTTTTCAAGAGCCACAGAATAGTTTGTGCTATGACTATGTAAACACCGAACACACCAAAAGAAACAGTAGACTCTCTTCTTTCATCAGGAAAAAAAAAGTGTGTTTCTACCTTATTCCGTTCTTCCTGGACTTGCGTCTCACCGGCGACATGTTCTCTCATAGCGAACCGTTCCCTTTTTCTTATTTGCCTACAGTCTATGCTCATCTCCCATCAAAAGTGGCACTGCCCCCTAGAGGGTCAATTTGTTACTACATACTCTGTCTAGAAGCCGATATTTACGGACAAGCTTTAGCAGATCGTCCCCCAGCCACTCTCGTTGAAAAACATAAAAGACGTCTTTGGCAGCGAACGGTTATATTTGAATCGACGTCTATACACGTCTTTGGCAGCCAATGAGTTAATCGTGAGGCAGGGCAGGGATATTCTGGCTTTTTGTGGAGCGGTTTGGGGTTTCTGGCGAGGTGTCTGCAGGGCTTAGACATGTTTCTGACCCCTCGCTTCCCTGTGAAGGAGAGAGGAGGAATAATTGCTCTGTGGAGACCGTCTGAGTGTTGTTTCATCTCTGTGAGGATCCCTTTGGGTTTCCTCCGGACTTCTGGTGATTGGTCGCCTTTTCTCTCCGAACCTCTCCAGTTTTTATCTCGTCCAGAACAAACACGTCTTTTGATTTCATCTCTGTTTTACGTCCCCGCCCGGTCAGCCTGGGGTCGTTTTAATCCTGCCCATATTGGCTCTTATGCCTCTGACACCCAGCATCTGTTTTACAAGCACCATAAAAAGCAGAGGCATCAGATTAAGATGAGTGAAGAGCCCCATGGGGAGAGATTACAGAAGGTTTCATCCAGGGGAAGACAGACACCAGTCTGAGGTGGGACTTGGTGATAAAAAAAAATATTTGATTAATACAAGCCTTTGAAATTAATGTTTGTGAAGTCAAATAATTCCTGGCTGGCAGCTGAGTGAGTGACCTGAATGTATATGAAGAGTTTCTGCCTTCATATAAAGATTTTTTGATCAACTTTTTAGCATTTAAAACAAAAAAAAGGATCAAACATGGCTCAAAATTCAGCTCCCGGGAGTTTAAGATGATACGTTTGTAGTTTTTCACTCACTTTTATTCAGAACTGGGTCAGAGTTCGGTTCATTTCAGTTTATAAACGTTGAAAGTGAGAATTAAAAATGAGGAAATTAAAGTTTTTTGTCTTTCAATGAAAGCAGCTACGTTATACCTTAATGTTTAGCCCCAAAAATGGTATTTCAGAGCTGGACTGTGCAGTGCATTGTGGGTAATGTAGTTTGAAGCAGGGAAAACATTGCGGTGACCAAAAAATGTTAGAGTTTAAGTTCTTTTTTTGCATATACGATGACGATTGTGTGTTTAATCCACATTTAAATGCACCCAAACAGAATAAGTAAATAATTTAAAGAGGAGAAACGGGGGCCAAATAGAAAATTAAACTTCAACTGCTGTCACATGGAGGCAGTTTGTGGAGTTTTGCTGCTCTTTGGGTTATACAGTTTGCTGTATTTCTCCGTTTAAGCACAAAATCAGTTCACGGAAGCATTAGATGATGCAGATATCCATCCTGACAGACTCAGGATTCGCACCCCCGCGCTCCACCGGTGATTCAGCCCCGTAGAGGAGCTCTTTGGTTACGCAACACATGCTAATCCCGCCTTTTCTTCCCCTTTTTCAGGTACCTGAGCCGGGCCGATGTGGCCCAGGCCTCCCTGTCTAAGGCCCAGGAGGAGGGGGGCTCCGTCCGGGTGGTTGCCACGACGACGAGGGCGTCGCCCGCCACGGAGAGGTGGGTGCAAAGGGAGGAAGTGGGAGTTCAGGCTCTTTCATAATACACTTTTTATAAGCTGTGTATATCTTAAAGTCTTTCATTCCTCGCTTGAGCTGCCTCTGGGTGCAGTCTGTAGGAAGCCAAGGATGGATGTCCAACTCCCCCCATGTCCAAGTCGGCCATTTTGATTAGGTCATGTGACTAGCAGCTTTCTGAGGTGGAAACGAAAGTTTACAGTCTATACGAAATCATAAGATAAACGATGTTGTAACCCTGACCCTGACCCTAAACCTAAACCTAACCCTGACACTAACCCTAACCCTGACCTTAACCCTAACCCTGACCCTCCACCCTCCGTAATTGTGAGAAATGAATATTTTTTTGGTAAAACTTGTTTTGACTTATTTTACAAACCTATTTAACATCCACAATTTTAACATAATATTATGTATAGAGTTTAATTCAGTGTTTGCAAGATTCATATCACTATTTATAAATTAATGTCTATATTGCCATGAAGCAATTAGGATTTTCTTGCCTGGGATCTTCCTGTTGGTGACCTAATCAAAATGGATGTGGGTGGGGTTGGATATCCATCCTAGGCTGGGTGTTTGTGGTGGAGGTTTTGGGTTCAGGTTTTGCTCGTGAAGGTGCTCTCCGACTGTCTTCCCGCTCTCTCCTTCAGCCGTCGCCATGGCGATCTCTAAGTGCCTGGCGGCGGAGTGTGTTGGTACAGTAAATATAGACCGTAACGCCATGCTCGCCCCGGGCGACGGGATCACTATGGAAACCAAAAAAAAAGAGATCTGTCTCTCCTAGAAATGGCTCAACTCAAAGAAAGTCCACAAATGACCTGAACTACAACAGAAAAACAGAATCAGTGGTTATTTTTCTTATAGAAATCTTAATATCAAAGTATTAAACGGACTTTGAGAGCTCAGATTTAATGTTTTTTAAGAAGGATAATCAATTAGGCTAATCAGGGCCACTAAAGGTCATTAGATAATAAGCTACTTTAAAAGAGTTTTTAGGCATTTAAGGCTAAATGTGTGTGTTCAGTTAATTTAGGTTTCTGTTTCTACCCAGTTTGGTTATTTGCTGCATAGCGGCCATTTTCTGGCTGCCAGATGTGCTGATAGACAGCCTTTTATTATTTCCAAACCAAATTCTTCCAACAAAGAAACAGGTGATTTGTGGTTTTGACGCACTTTCCTGTTATTTCTTGTAAAATGATATGGAAATAATAACCAAAAATTCATTATAGCTTTGATTCAAATTAGAAGTAGGCTATTCTTAGTCTCCCAAATTAATGGGAGGAGCTTTAAAAAATACCAATTAAATCCTAATTATTCCAAATAAATAATTTCCATATGGTTCTGTAAAAGCTAAAATATATTTTAACTGCTTAAAACAGAACATTTGAATTAAAAAAAGTCAACGTAAATGGCCAAAACGTTGGTGTTGTGCTTAATTTATCCAGCTTCTGAGTTCAAATGACTCCTGCTTGGTCACATCTTGAGTCCTGATGAAGAACCCAGTGGAAACACAGAGGTTCCCCCCTGAAGTTTGACTTTTTTAAGCTTTTGTGTTGAAAGTTGATGACCTTTAACCTCTGAGCTGCAGACTGAGGCCTGTAGAGTCTGTTGTTTGTTGGTTATTCTGCCTCCTCCTCTCCTGTGAAGCTACAAATGATTATTATTATTTTTTAAATTCTTTTTTATTATAATTGAATTGAATTAAATTGAATTCCCCTTTTTTTCTCTTTTTTTTCCTTTTTCTTTTCTTTTTTTTTCCTTTTTTTTCCTTCTTTTTTTTCTTTATTTCCTTCCTTTTTTTCCCTTTGAAGCTACAAATGAAATATAATGACCCATAATCTGCCCTCAGGTCGCCGGACTTCCCAGATCTTCTGTTTGGTTTAGCCAATCAGAGACGAGTCGAGGTGTAAACACCCGCCATTTGCTGAAGGCGTGTCCCTTATTTCCGCCATTTAAAGGACGAGTTTTAACACCGAACGGCCATCGTCCCGTTCACTGAAATTAACTTTTCATTCGTTTTAATCCCATTTAGCCACCAGCTCACCTCATTTTTCTGGTAATTAGACGAGTCTGTTTTTAAGAGCAGCATATTAGTATCTGAAGTTAGCAGTAAAGCATCTATTTATGTCTCTCTTTCATCCCTCCACAGTTCTGGCACAGCTTTTCTCTCTTGGTACTTCCAGTTTTTTGGTATCTTCTCTGCTTTGAAGCAGCGAGGTTCCTCTTTTTTTTCTCTTTTTTTGAAGGTTTTCTTCTCCGTTTCAGTGGCTGAATTCTCCTCTGTTGTGCTGTTTATCTGGATCTTTGTTCCTCTTTCTGTTTGTGTGGATTGTAAACCACGGGGAGAGAAAATTTAGTCCATCTGTCTCCTCCGACGTGGTTCTAGCGTCCTGCTGGGAAAACATGGCAGAGGCCCAGATCTGCTGTCCTCTGCCAAAAGGAAAAGGACAGACACTCTCAGTCATTTCAGACCTTCAGGAGATCCAGAAAGGTGTTTCTCACATTTTTCTGCTGCACATTCTGCAGAAGAACATTCAGATTTGTTGGATTTAGATTAGTGTTTATATATTATTATTATTTTTAGTGCAGAAAGGAACAGAAATTCTGCCAGCATTTTGCTCAACGAAGGAAAAATCTAGGATTGTTTGTCCATTTATTTATGTCTAATTTTAGACATTTTTTCTCAGCATAGACTCGTTTTAGTAATTTATCTTAAGTGATTTAATGCAGAATTAATATCTCTGAGTGTGTTTTTAAAGATGAAAGCCCACCTTTTTTCTACAATGATGTACTTCAGTGTTTGTCTAATATTTGCCAGATACCAATCAGTTATACCTTTTTTCAGGTTTTAGGAACAACAAAAAAATATACTGATTCATATATTTACTTTGTTTTGTTTTTTTTTTAACTCAAAATGTTCCAAATCATCTCTTAAAGCCTTTCCAGTTTGCATTTGTTTTTTCTCTATTGTCCAAAATATGATTTAAAAAAAAACACAATCAAATGGCTTTATTGAAGCTTTTTATAACAATTTTAGCCTAAAAGTATAGAAAATCTGTATATTATACAGTTTTACATGCAGGACATGTTTTGTAAATTCTAGCTATTGGTGAGTTTTTGGGTCAAAATGCAGTTTAATAGAAATCCAAATCTTCTCTTTGAACAGAAATGTAGTTTTTCTGATTGGTTAGTCCTCCCATAAGTCACCTCATCCATTAATACTTTTCCAAATGTTTATAAATTGGTTAAACCTGCACAGTTCCTGTGTTTTCTTTCATTTTAGGAGCCGTCTCCAGCATCTTTCTATGGTCTGTTTGAGTCGTTTATGTTTGAGGACAGATGCTAACAGATGCTAACTCCTGTGTGGTTAAAGTATAGAAAATTTGTATATTATACAGTTTTACATGCAGGAAATGTTTTGTAATTAGAGTTATTGGTAACTTTTTTGGCCAAAATGCACTTTAATAGAAATCAAAATCTTCTCCTTTAACAGAAATGTCGTTTTTCTGATTGGTTAGTTCTCCTATAAGTCACCTCATCTATTAATACCTTTCCAAATGTTTATAAATTGGTGAAACCTGCACAGTTCCTGTGTTTTCTTTCATTTTAAGAGCGGTCTCAGGCATCTTTCTATGGTCTGTTTGAGTCGTTTACATTTGAGTACAGATGCTAACTCCTGTGTGGTTAAAGTATAGAAAATCTGTATATTATACAGTTTTACATGCAGGAAATGTTTTGTAAATTCTAGCTATTGGTAAGTTTTTGGGTCAAAATGCAGTTTAATAGAAATCCAAATCTTCTCCTTTAACAGAAATGTAGTTTTTCTGATTGGTTAGTCCTCCCATAAGTCACCTCATCTATTAATATTTTTAAAAAATGTTTTTGAATTGGTGAAAGCTGCACAGTTTCCGTGTTTTCTTTCATTTTAGGAGCGGTCTCAGGCATCTTTCTATGGTCTGTTTGTGTCGTTTATGTTTGAGTACAGATGCTAACAGATTCTAACTCCTGTGTGGTCCCATAAGTCACCTCATCTATTAATATTTTTCAAAAAATGTTTGTGAATTGGTGAATTCTGCACAGTTCCTGTGTTTTCTTCCATTTTAGGAGCCGTATCCAGCATCTTTCTATAGTCTGTTTGAGTTGTTTATATTTGAGTACAGATGCTAACTCCTGTGTGGTCCCATAAGTCACTTAATCTATTAATATTTTTCAAAAAATGTTTGTGAATTGGTGAAAGCTGCACAGTTTCCGTGTTTTCTTTCATTTTAGGAGCCGTGTCCAGCATCTTTCTATGGTCTGTTTGAGTCGTATATTTGTACAGATGCTAACAGATGCTAACCCCTGTGCCCCCCCCCCCCCCCCCTGGGGCAGGGGGGGGGGGGCCCTGGGACTCACGCTTCTGCAGCCACAGGTGAGACATTTATGCTAAACCCCTCACCGGTTCAGCTCAAACTCAGACAAAAAACGATTTCCGGTCGGCTTCAGACATCCAAATGGAAGCTCTGACCCTTTTTACCCCGTTTTGACCCATTTTTCCCCCCTTTACCCCCCCCTTTCTCCCCCTTTCTTGCCCCTTTTGACCCGTTTTCCCCCCTTTTTGACCCTTTCCCACCCCCTTTTGCCTATTTTCACCTGTTTTCGTCCCTTTTCTGCGGCCCCCAGGTGCCAGGACGAGTTCCAGCTGCGCTGCAGTGGTTCCTACCTGCGTTCCCGGGTTTTGGAGGCTGAGCGGGGCGTCTGCCAGCAGTGCGGCCTCCGCGCCCACGACCTGTTCCTGCAGGTCCGGGATGCCCCCCCCCCCCAGAGGAAAAACCTACTGGACAACACCTGGCTCTCCCAGCTGCCAATCAAACAGGTGGGACGGACATTTCCCCTCCCAGCCAAAGCCTGAGAGCTCCAGAGGGAGCTTAATGTTCATTATTTATTATTTAAATTATTTATTCATTATTTATTATTTATTATTATTATTATATTATATTATATTATATTATATTATATTATATTATATTATATTATATTATATTATATTATATTATATTATATTATATTATAATTATATTATTATTATTTTATCTCTATTTTGTCTTTAAGGCAGAAAAAAAACTTCACATATTTGTCATTTCCCGTCAGCTTTTCTCCGGTTTTACTCTTTTTTTTATGTGTGTTTAACCTCCTAAGTTTAAAAAAGAAACTATTAAACACAACGACCTGATTCTGGGTGGTAACACAAACTCCTCCTCATGTTTGACATTAGCAGTAAAAATAGGAGAAAATTCTCAGGTTGTAAAAGTGAGCTAAAGATATTTATATTAACCATCGAATTCAGTGACTGACACTTAGCAACTGAAAAAACCTCCTAAACTCTATGTTTAATCTCTGCACTATTTAGTAACTGTTGGATATTTCCATCCAAAAAACTGGTTATTTAGACAGAATCAACTCTAATTTCTAGTTTGCCAGCGAAACAGAAGAGAAAAAACATCTTATTTTAAGGGATTAGTTCCAAAGCTCAGCTTCTGTTTCCTTCAGTGTTTCTTTCTGAACAATGTTGAATGTTTTATAACCTTTTATAACCTCCTATTCTGCATTTACCTCCATGCTTGTCTGTCTAAAATCATTTAGGGCCACATTCTAGTCTTATGTTCATACTTCCAGCTTTCCAAAAACATGCAAATTAACTCCTCTGATTTTAGCCACAACCCACAGCTATAAATCTGGATGTGAGCTTATGCATCGATATGTTGTATATATATATACATTTAAATACACTGAGACCTCTGACACTGAATATTAATTAGATAAACCCTGTGAATAATCATTTGAGAGCCCGTTTTGGACTCAGAAACTGGTAAAATCCCTTTTTATTCGGGGCTTTTTGGTCGGATACACGTCGGATTTGAAGCACAACATGACAAAGGAAGGCGTTTTTTTGTGTGTTTGCTTGTTCAGAAGTGAAAAAGGCCTCTTCTCTGCATCCCACACGCCCACGTCCACACAACCGCCAGCGCACACACACACACACACACACACACACACACACACCGTGGGGCTAGCTCCCAGTAAATGGATTGCTGAGCACATTGATTTTTTTTTCCCAGTGCCAGCCTCGACCAGTAAGCCTGTTTGATTTGGTTGGCTGTTATCCTGCAAAGCCAGCTCCCCCCACACACACACACGCACACACACACACACACACACACACACACGCACACACCACCTCTTCACAGTGCCGTCGGCAGCTGCATCAGCGATCGATGCTCTGAGCTTTAGAGGAAACAAACTCAGCCACATGATAAGACGCCTCAGTGGTGGAGAAGCCTCAAGATTATGGGCTCATTCTTTGGTTCATTCTGGGGGTTCTGGTGTGTGTTTGTGCGTTCCCCTGTGTGTGTATATGTGTGTGTGTGTGTGTGTGTGTGTGTGTGTGTGTGTGT